TGACGGGGCTGGCTGAGTCCTGGCCTGTAGGAGAAGAGAAGCCATCAGTTGCCACCACACTTGGGAATTCCTACCTCATTGTCTCCGTGGTACATGGGGAAGGTAACCTGGGTCCTCTCAGTTCAGCTGTGGCATGTGGAGATGAGGCTTTCTGAATTACCTAGGGCCAGAAACCTTGTCCACTGGCCCTCTTGAAAATTGATAGAGCACTTCTCTAGTCAAGAAGGTGACAGGTTCAGAGCCACTTGGCATTACGAAGGAATTATTATCATTACCCACGCAATCACTAGGAGCTCTATCTACAACCACACACGGAGGAGGGACATGTCTCTCCTGCTCTTCTGTCCCTGCTGGCTCCTAAGTACATGGTAACTTTACACATCTCTGACCCTCCTTGTGCCACATGGCCCATCCTATGGGCTTTGGTGTGGGCATTAGAGGGGCACAAATCCACACTTTCATCTGTCGTCTCCACAGCTCCTCCCTCCCTGGTATTTCCCTCCCACAAGCTCAGCCTCTGACTCTGCAGAACTGGGCAGCTCTGACCCTGGTCCCTCTGCTCACTTAGACAGTCTCACCATGCACGTGGAGGAGGAGAAGCAGGAGTCCACAGGCCACAGCAAACAGCCAGCCAGGAAGTCTATCGAGTGGCATGGTTGAATCCCAGGGCTAACTCTGTGCTGCTACAAGATGACAGTCTCACAACAACGGGAAACAGAACAGGTAGGCTTTGCCCAGGCAGGAATTTATACCTTTCAGGATGTGGGTGTGGAAATTTGGTTGAGTGGGGCAAAGTTCTTATTGCGGCACAACTGATAAGGCAGAAGTCAACAGAGAACCAATAGCCAGCAGGCAGGGCAAAAGCAACGGTGCAGTTTCTGCTCCTTCCATGACCTCTTGGATAGGCATGACATGGCATCTGAAATCCTTCTGGAATGCCAGGATTCCTGTCCTTGAACATGGAGTCACCATGATCCCTGGCCCTTTTCCTCACCAACCCAATGTAGGTATATAAGCAAAAAAATAGGGAGCAGAAAGCTGTAACAGGAGAAGCCACGGTGCTTCTGTGAGTAGGAACACACTCAAGATGCCACAGATGGAGAGAAGTGAGAGAGCAGGAGCTCTAAGTGTGACCTCATTCTCATGAAACCTCTATGTTGTCAAGACTCATAGAGCAGTGAGTCCACCCTCAGGGTCCCTTACCCATATGGTGATCTTAGGATCACTTCCTGTTTACTTCCTGTTAGGTCATGGCAGTTTCTTTGAAAGATAATGAAATTCTGGCTCTTCTGCCTCTCTCTCTCTCTCTCTCTCTCTCTCTCTCTCTCTCTCTCTCTCTGTGTGTGTGTGTGTGTGTGTGCATGTTCAGCAGAAGTTCAATAAAAATTTTAGGCCCTAGTGCAATGGTCTTCAACATCCCAAATGCTACGACCCATTAATACAGTTCTTCATGTTATAGGGATCCCCAAACATAAAATTATTTTTGATGTTACTTTGCAGCTGTAACTTTGCTATTATTATGAATTGCAATGTAAGTATTTAATATGAAGGATATCTGATATGCGACCACAAGTGGTCATGACCCCCAGGTTGAGAACCACTGCCCTAGTGGCTATCTCAGGCATCACCCACCCCTCCTGCATTCAAAGGAAGGGCCTTTCTCCCTGCCCAGCCCCTGAGCCCAGCTGAAGCTCATCTTCAACTCTCTGCTTCCTGGTGTTTAAGACTGGCATTTCAGAAGTTATCATTTTGGTGATATCCTATGGTTGGCTTACAAGACAATGAATGAAACCTGAGAAGATCCTAGGGTGGCCTGGGTTTGTCAAGTGCAGGAGACTTGTGAGCATCGGGATCTAGAAGATGGGGGATAGAGCCCTTGAATGGCGGAGAGATAATGCTTTAGGTGAACACAGAGACAGACAGACTGAGCACCGCTTATCACCTTTGTACAATGGAATATATTATAAGAGAAGTTTTTAATACAGGGCCTAAAAACTTTAGAGTCAACAATGAAGTCAGAATATAAATTGATAATACGGGATCTGATGAGAATGATTGTGTCACAAGGAACCAAACAGTTCTTGGGGATAAGTGAAAGTTAGAAATAGCCTTCCATACATGGACTGGTACTCAGGAAGACAGTGATAGGATGCTGTTCTCCTGAACATTTCTGGACCTTCTGATACTCCCTTCCCACTTCCAGGGCACACCTCATGGTCAAAGATATTCACAGGTGTCCTGAGTCTGAGAACATGAACCTCATAGCATCTCCAGGCTCTGTAGAGGAGGTGGGGAGAAACTTTGGCTGATCCCAACAATACACAATCACACACACACACACACACACACACACACACACACACAATGACGCAGCATTGTCTGTGCCAGCACTGACATGAGAGAGAAGCACAACTGTGAACTACACACAAAATTCCAGCCTGCTCTGGTGTGGATCTGAAAATGAGGAAAATGAGGGCATGACAGAAGTCACCTAAGGACCTAAAAGATCCACAGGCTCTCAGTCTGGACATTGGGTGAGGATAAGTGTTTGGACACCATGGGTTTGTCAACTCTTCTTTACCTCAGAAAATGTCCTGCTTTGGATGCTGTGCAGCCCTGATCCTCTCTGCCTGGGAGTGCAGGGAGGGGTCCAGTAGACCCTCCTCCTGCTGTGTGTGTCATCTCTCAGCTCCACCTCCCTGGCACCTCCCCTCCCACACCACCACATTCAACACAGCAGAGTCTGGCAGACCTGATGAGTTGCAACAAGAGAAGTTAAAAGCCCCAAATCAGCCAAGCGAATCTTCTGCTGCAGCCCCTCCCCCATCTGACCCACAGAAATCAACATCTTTGGTGCCACCTTTGTGGATGAGGCCAGGGCAGCAGCCACTCACAGGCACCAGAGAGTGACTTCCAACATCTTTCTCAGTCAAGTGCTCACCCTGTCCTGTGACTTGCTGCCTGCACACAATGGCCTTCCAGACAGCATCTTTGTCCATGCATCTCACTGAGGGCTCCTGCCTGTGATGACTGACAGTTATTGCAACAGACAAAACCTATGGAAACGGTCCTGCTTAGAGCCTGCCCACACCCACAGTGCTTTATCTCCAAAGAAAATCTCCATTAAACCCTGTGTAATCAACTCAAATGTCCTTCTCGCTGGAAGCTGGAAAGCCATATCCAGACCAGGAGTCATTGGTGAAAATCAAATTAGGTGAACAAATTCCTTTTCTTACTGCTCTTTGGATTTCTTCTGATTTTTGAGACAGAGCACTGTATGTAGTCCAGACAGGTCTGCTATCCCAGTTTCTGGGTTTAAAGGTGTGTCACAAAACATGCAGCTAACACATCCCTTCTAAGTAATCCTGGGCATCGTCTGCAAGCCCCTGCTATTTTAATGTTCCCAGAGGCACAGGCCAGGATGAGAGAGAAGAGGACAGGCACACTCCATCCCTTTTACAGTTATCTCTGACTCTGAGCCCAGGAATCTAGAGAAAGAATACTCCAAACAGCAGCCATGAGTGAGTCAGGCAGACCTTCCTACATGGAGAACTCTGGTGACCTCCCAGAGTCTGGTGACCCACAGCAGGGGTCACAGGTGAGGTGAGTTCAGTGGTTCTGACTGGGGAAGCTCAGGAAGAGATCAATAAAGTGTACACTATCAGAGCCCAGAGGCCCAAGAGGAGGTCAATGGGTCCACACTTGGAGAGTGTATGGGCTGTACACACGCACCCTGGGAAACCATCCATTCTGGTTCAAGTTCTGATAGAGCCTGAAATTTGCTGATTGGCCCAGAGCACACACACCCTTTGCTCTGGAATCCAACCTGCCCTTGCACCAAGGTAGGTGCACAGTGAAGAAAACCCAGGGACTACCAAGGTCGACTGAAGCCTGTGGGGCGCCAGGAAAGTCTCTATGACAACTAACTCTGTGCCTTTCAAAGGTTTCCAGGCCACTGTTCTGTCCTGCGGGGTGACACACTCACAGATATGACAGCATAAATATATAGTATTATTACCCAGAAGTCCAGGAGCAGCTACAAAAGAACTGAGGGAAAAGACCCACCTGCTGCTTTATCCCCTGACCTGCAGGCCAGCACAACTTAGATCCCCTACTACTGAGCTGGCTCCTCAGTATGGGTGACCTCCTCCAGTATCAGTGATGCTTATGGGGGAGAAGGCTACTCTGTGGGCATTGGGAGGGGCATTGGGAGTCAGTTCTCTCCTTCCACAATGTGGGCTCTGTGGCTGAACTCTGGCCCGGCTTAGATAAAGGCACCTTTTTCTGCTTCGTCATTTCACAGGCCCTGGCAAGGGAATTTGGAGACACATTTCCTACAAATTTTTCTGATGCATCTGAGAGTTACTCCCTCTCTGTAGTCTCAGTCTCTAACTCTGCAGAACTTGCCAGTTTAAGTAAGGATCCACTTAAGAGTCTCCCCTGAATGAGAAGAAGAAGCAGAATGTCTAGCAGACTCTTTCATGAAGCAGGAACCCCAAAAGACCGTCTCACCTTTAGGCAAGTTCAGCAGTCATTTCTCTGTGGGTCCTGCATATCTAGTCAAGCAGTCCAGGCGAAAGCAGTTTCTTGCCCAAATGGCTAACCAACTCCATAAGGAGCCTCTTCAATGCCCATCATCCTCTTGGAGTAGATTGGTGCTGCCAGGAGCAGATGTGTCTCACTGTCATGAAAAGTCCTAATTTCTTAAAACATTTAAATGCCATATTCTGAAGGTCTCTGAAAGATTTGAAGAATACCTGTCTATCTGAAATATATCTCTGTATATTTAGGAAATCTATCTAACATGACTACAAGGTTGACTATTATAGATGATTATCTATTAACCTATATTTCTTAATTATACATTACATTTTTAAATGAACTGCACAAACACAATACCTTAATCAAGAGCATAAATATACATATAACAGGATTGACCTTAAATTTGTATCAATAAACCAAGATCCATACCAATGCAAAGTATCCATCTCTATAGCATATGATGGAGAGGTTATGGGGTAAAGGGAACACTCCTTCATTGCTGGTGGAAGTGCAAGCTGGTACAGCCCCTTGGGATGTCAGTGTGGTGATTTCTCAGGAAATTAGAAAACAATTTTCTTAAGACATAGTAATACCACTTTTGGTATATATCCAAAGGATGCTCAACTGTACCACAAGGACATATGCTCAACTATGTTCATAGCAGCATTGTTTGTCATTGCTAGAACCTGGAAACAACCTAAACGCCCCTGGACCAAAGGATGGATAAGGAAAATGTGGTACATTTATACAATGGAGTACTACACAGCAGAAAGAAATAAATATATCTTGACATTTGCGGGAAAATGATTGTGTCTAGAAAACATCATCCTGAGTGATGTAACCCAGACCCAGAAAGACAAATATAATATGTATTCACTCATAGTGGCTTTTAGACATAAAGCAAAGTAAAAACCAGCCTACAATTCACAATCCCAGAGAACCTAGACAACAATGAGGACCCTAAGAGAGATGTACATAGATCTAATCTACATGGAAAGTAGAAAAAGATAAGATCTCCTGAGTAAATTGGGAGCATGAGTACCATGAAATAGGGTAGAAGTAGAGGGGAGAGGAAGGGAGGTGAGCAGAGAGAAAAGTATATAGCTCATTAAAAACAATTTTTAAAAAAGAAATAATCATAGAGTCATATTTCTATATTGATATTTAGGTTCTGATGAGATGTTACTAAGACCGAGGCCTAGTAGAGGTCTGGGTCCTGAGAACTATTAAATATCCCATTTACTCATCAACTTTGGGTCAGAGAGCTAGTCATCACAATACAGCAAACAGATTTGTATCTTAATGTTGAACTTCATGGTCTCCAAAATTAACCTAATGAGATAGGGCATGTGATTTTGACAGACCTCACCAATATAATATGGGGTCTTTGAAGAACCCACATCATGGTTTTTCAAACTTCTGTTTTATTTTAAAGAACATTTTAGTCCTAGAGAAGATGAAAATGAAGAGAAAAATTTAAGAAGGAAGGATAGAAGGGGCCTAGTACCAGAGGAATCTGAAAGGAGATAAGCCTGCCTTGGGTGGCTCACAAAATCCACATTGTTATGGGAGCATTTATTGAATGAATCTAACAAAAGATGACCCAACAAGATAGAGTCACATGCAGAAAATTCGTGATAAATGTAGAAGAATGTAACATGAAGGGGCCTGCTTGTTTGTGTTTCTATCCCGCCAGGTATCCCACAACTGTTTAGCCCCAAAGAAAATCACACATAGGTCTCCATAAATTAAAAGCTGATTGGCCCATTAGCTCTAGCTTCTCACTGGCTAACTCTCACATCTTGACTAACCCATTTTTTTTTTTTTATCTATGTTAGCCATGTGGCTCAGTACCTTTTTTCAGTGGGGCAGATCACATCCTGCTGCTTTGGTGATCTGGGCAGGAGTGGGAGAAATCAACTTCCTCCTTCCCAGAATTCTCCTGTTCTCATTACATCATTTCTACTTCCTGTCTGGTTTTCCCGCCTATATTTCCTGCCTGGCCAATCAGCGTTTATTTATAACATGATTGACAGAATACAGACAATTCTCCCACCCCAGAAGAGCAGACAAGTGCAGAGGTTATGTGAGTGTTAGGATCAACTCAGGTTAGTCAGTATATTTTGGGAAACTCAAGGTGACCCCATCAGCAGCCAATGCTACACACCATTCTTCACAAAGGGCACTATAGCTCTTTGTGCATGTTCTGAGATTTCTTTAGCTCCTGGATCTTCTGAGGCAGTGTCTGGGTCCAGAACTGCAGCCTTCTGGCCTTCAGGGCTCGGCCCATAGCAGGCTGGATGTTCAACTGCAGGTACTGCTCTTCATGGTCCAACACAGGCCAGTAGGGTAGACCCTCACTGTTGGGGTTCCTATGGATATGACACCCAACAAGGAAGAATGAGGTCAGGTCACTCTGATTCAAACTGATCCCCTGATTTGGGTTATGGCTATGGTATAATTAGGCCAGTGGTTAATGGGGTTGATGGGACAGGTGTCCTGATAAAGATCTGCTCCATGTGGAGGAGGACTCCTTGACATGTTTTATATCTACATCTAAGAGGCAAGATATAAAGAACAGTACCATAGCATGATGACTCAGGAACCAAGTCACTGTGAGATGACCAGGAACTGACACATACAAAGTATCCATATAAATGTGCTATGCAATAGAGAAGAATCTATCATGTCATATTCAGGAGCGCTAAAGAGACCACCACCCAAAAGAAAGACCTATATAGAGACCCACATATCCCTATAACCCATATAGGGAGGGTTGAGAGAAAGATTTATTCTCACCCATGTCTTGCAAAGTTGGCCCAGTACTTCATCATCCTCCTGTTCAGTAGCTCTTCCTCTTCAGTGAGGTTGACTAAAGTCATGAGAAAAATAAATGTTCACGTCCATGGCACCTCACACAACTGCCAACTTATGCTTCACCCTCACAATCCCAGCTGTTGTCAGACCCTAAACTATTGGGTTTTTTATCTCCCTTCTTCACTATACAATATTCAACATCCTTGCAATCCTTTAAAGGAATTCCTGCCCCCAATGTGCTGTCATCTCCGTCACAGGCTAGACTGAGACAGATTCAGATTCTAATCCTGGTATAATTTTTTTAGTCTATGATATGGTACATATTTAAATTTATTCTCTCCCAGAATCTAGTTTTCATCAAATGGACAGAGAGTGCAGGAGTCCCTAGGGTGTCATCTGGGAACTCAGTCAGCCCAAGGAGAATAAGGAAGACTCACATTTCATGTCAAAGAAGAAGTATCCAAAGACAAAAGTAATCTCATCACCATGGTCAGCTTTCACATAAGGTGGCCTGAAACTCTTGAAGAAGCTGGGTTGGTGTTGGAATTCATAGAAGTAGACAGGGGCATGGGAACCTGGAGGTAAGAACAACTACGACTTTACTAAGCCCATCTACTGGATTTCTTCTGATACATATTTGCTGACAAGGTATCTTGACATAAAGTTACCTGGAATCATAAACATTAAAGGGAGAGAAAGTTCCAGGCTGGAGCTCTAGCTGTGGCAAAGCTCAGGGCAGAACAGTGCTCATGGCCTTTCCAACTGGATAGCTATGTCAAGTTAATAGATTATCAGCAACCCATTTTCTCATCTGCACCTGGATGTCGCTCTTTTTCACTCAATATGAGACCTGCATAGCATACTGCTCAACAGTGCTCACCCATGGTCTAAATCTCTGAGTTGCTCCCTTAAGATTGTTACAGATGTACTCACGTTGAAAATGTGCTACTTGGAGTGCAGGAATCACAAACATGAAGTCTGCCATCATCTCTGTAAACTGTAATTGGAGGGCTTGGGGATCCTCAGTGTCCCCCATGTACTCTTCCATTAGCAGGTCACTACACTCAGGAGGCAGCATCTACACCAAGGAGATCAGAGGTTAGGCATGTTCTCCGTTAGGTGGGCAGCAGCTTTGGTATGGGGAGAATAGGGCCTGGGTGGAGATAGGACATGGGTAAAAAAAAGATTCATGCTCTGAGGTCACCCCACACAGAATCACACATATATGCTGACTTTTGTTAATAGGGATGCTGTCTGAGAGAAGATATGAGGGACTTCTCTATTTGGATAGGACAGCAGTATCTCACCATTTGTGCTGTTGTATTCTTCATAAAAGCCTCCAGATTCCCTTTGGTTATTTCCTTTATTGCCTGAGCAGAGCCCATGATCTGGAAGATAGAAGACCCAGTTAAGTGTGGGATCTGATGAACTTGGATTAAATGTATTTAGTTCTCACTGCTTAACATATGAGTCTCCAATCTCCCAAATGATTGGAACTGAGACTCACCATGGGGATAATCCAACCATACTCATCATTGGTGACACCAATGATGCTGGGGACAGGGTGAAAATCCACAGAAGTCAACAACTCTTGGGGATGCTTGGGTAGGAAAACCCCATCTACCACAGCAGGGATGATCTTGAAGACCTGAGGGGCATTAAAGTCAATGCTGAAGTCAATGAAATATGTATGTTGATGTCCACTGAGTTCTCTCCACTGTTTGCACATTTCCTACTATCCTCGGGGTTCTCAGCTCACTCTGGAAGAGAATCTACACTTAGATTAGCCTATCTTGGTGTTCATATTGTACACAGAACTAAAGAACACAAAGTCTGACTAGATGACCCAAGGCACATAGTTCTACTCACCTTGTTAATGACCAGAATCTCTGCCTCACTCTTGCCTCTCAGACAGCGCACCAGGGCCTCTGAGTTTGTGGTCTCACAACCAGATAGGCTGGCCACTGTCTGTGAAGGGGAACAAGTAAGAAGAAGGATTTTTACAATCCCAACTGAATGATATTATCCTAAATATCACACTATAGTGTATGTTTGGTGTTGATGGTTATAAATATAAATTATTCCCTTTGTCCTTTTCCTCAAAGTTTACAGACATCAGGCAGTATCCTCTCTACCTCAACACCTTTTCCCTTAGGGTATTTTTACTAACCCCAGCCATCCTTCTGTATATCGGATGTGAGAGAAGGAGTAAGTCTGCCAGTATTTATATGTGAATACTAGAGGACCAGGTCTCCTTTCTTCACAGATGCCCCCTTATTTGAGACAGGGTGTCCTCTTGGTTTCTGCTCCTACACTAGCTAAGTTGCCCTGTGAACATCCAGAGATTCCCTTGTCTTTGCCGCCCACCTCACCACAGAAACATTGGAATGACAGATACATGCTACTATCTCCAGCCTTCTGTGGGCTCTGGGAATTTGAACGTGTGTCCCCAGGATTACACTCCAAACACTTTTTTTTAAAAATGCACTGAGCTATCTCCCAAAGCATATACATATTTATTTCTGTCAATAATGGAAATGGCTAGGAGAAGTTAGAGGACCCTGACTGTGACCAAGCCCTGAAGCTCTGAGGATTTGTATGTATTTGTATAGCTGCACAGAAACCCAGCAGTTGATACTCTAGTAAGTAGTAAGTCAGAGAGCATGCTCAACCCATATGAAATAGAGATGAATAGAAGCTAACCCCAGAGTTCTCAAAATTTGCTGGAAAGAAATATTTTTCATGATCATTATTCTCCCCTCTCAACAGAAGACCAGAGCACCAGAAGATGAAGGCTGAGGGGTCAGAGTAGGACTATGATGGTTGAGGGCACTCACAGTGTAGACTCTTTCATGGGTGTCAGAGATAAGGTCAGGCAGCAGGGCCACTCCACTTTCCATGATAGCTCTGTGGAAGAGTCCTTGGGACATGGGGGACACAACAAGTGAAGACACACTTGTGCCTCCTGCTGACCCGCCAAAAATGGTGACCTGGCCAGGGTTGCCTCCAAAGTGGGCGACATTTTGTTGGACCCAGCGTAGGGCGGCCACTTGGTCCAGGTAGCCCCAATTGCCTCTGGCGTGCCGGTCTCCAGTGCTGAGAAGAGGAAGGGACATGGATCAAAGGGCTGTCTAGGTTCTTATCAGATACCATTGCCCCAACAGCCCTAGGCTCACCTGAAGAAGCCCAGGACACCCAAACGGTACTGGATAGTGACCACCACCACATCCTCAGTGGCTGCCAGTATGGAACCATCAGTTCCAGAAGCCATTCCTGCAACCAGAGCACCACCATGGATCCACACCATCACCTGGAAGAGCAAAGAGAGATGCCAGGAGACCCCTACTCAGTTCAACCTCTGCAGGACTGCTTACTAGAGTATCAACTTCTGGGTTTCTGTGCAGCTATACAAATACATACAAATCCTCAGAGCTTCAGGGCTTGGTCACAGTCAGGGTCCTCTAATAGCCCCATCTGTGTAATTCCCATCCCCATGCCCAGTGAGTATTTGCATTTTAATTAATGGCTCTATGTATACAGAAATGTTATCATTACTCAGACTCTTCATAGTAGAACAAAGAGGCGTGTCTCCATGGATATCTCCCCAGTTTAAAATGGAATCATCAACTCTCATTGGTAAAACAGATAACCCAAAAGTAGACATAGGTAACCTCAATGTTGAGACTTTAGAACCTAAGTGGTTCTACAGAACTCAGGTTATAGAATACATCCTTGTTTTATCAAAGAGCTAGAGTTTTTAATAACGCAGTGCTCTAGTGATATATATCTGACACCCAGGTTTCAGCTGCTTTAGTGTAGCTGAAAAACCCTTCTTTGACCTAAATTAAGGAAGGCATTTCAGCAGAGCCCACACTGCAATGGAGCTCAGGTTGCTTCTGCCCCTTCTAGTCATCTTGAAAAGCATGCCTGGTCCCCAAGTTGACCATGTCCTGACACTCACAGGCAGGTTAGAACCCTCATGGGCATGAGCTGGAGTGTAGATATTGAGATGTAGACAGTCTTCAGACATGGAGATGGGAGGCATGGTCACTCCCATATCTGTCAGGCCCTCTGGATTCATGGTTTCAAGGTTTTGTAGACACCTGATGGAAATAGAAGACAAATATTCCAAGAGATATATGGTGGTCAAAACCAAATGTGGTTCTGAATCTTTTCCTGGCCACCTTTAGCTGCTACTCCTCATGATGTCCTGTTGTTAATACATATTTCCCCTCTGAAGTCCCTTCCACCAAGGTAATGGCCACAGGTTCCATGAAAGCTGGGGAGTCCTCCAGTTTGGTTGGGTCTGTATATTTTTTTTCTGAGTCTGGTATATAGAGACATCTCGGTGTCTCTATGGAAATGATTGGCTGTGTGTGGTGACATTCACTGAAGTGTATATGAATAGAAAAGTGACCTAGACCTTGGCAATGCAAGCCATGCAAGCCTTTTCTCTTCTCTGTTCCTGGCTGTGGATGTGATGTGACCAGTTCCTATAATTTTCTTTCAGATTAACTTCCCAACATGATGGATTATAATTTAGAGATTTAGTAGTAGCTTTCTCCCCTTAAGTTGTTTTTGTTGGTACTTTATTGCAGCAACAGAAAACAAACTTAGATGCAATATTGGAGTGTTGCGCTCCACAAGTATTAGAGGAGTCAATGAACAGTGGGTCCATTGTTCCTAAAGGGCAGTGAGAAAGCCTTTACCCATGTACAGACTCTCAGGGAACTTCTTTCTTTTTTTAGAATTCCAATAAAATTATATTTATAAAATGAAATGATGGGTGTGGGGAGTGCATATTCACCAGTTCCTGTTCTATGTGATTTGTTATGTAAGTTCAGAAATCAGTGCTGTCTGGTGATGTGGGATTCCCCTCTGTATTCCACTGGGTTAATAAAGAAGTTACTTTGGACTTCTAGCAGGGTAGAATAGAGCTAGGTAGGAAAACTAAACTGAATGCTGGGAGAAAGAAGATGAAGTAACAGAGATGCCATGTAGCTGCCAGAGGAGACTAGAACCTTGCTGGTAGGCCACAACCTCGTAGTGATGCACAGATTAATAGAAATGGGTTAATTTAAGATATAAGCACTACTTAGCAATACATTTAAGTGATTGACCAAGTAATGTTTTAATCAATACAGTTTCTGTGTGGTTGTTTTGGGGTCTGGATGGCCGGGAACAAAAGAACAGCCTTCACCAACATTCTGGAACAACTAAAAAAGCACAATGTATAAATGCTGACAAATATCACTTCTCCCTTTTCTTCTGGGCTTTCAGCTATGCACAGGGCAGTTGGGAAGTCATATGTATGTGTGGCTTCTGAATTGGAAAGGCATCCTTCATCCCAAGTACAGACTCTCAGGGAACATCTTTTTCCTATGCTGTTTTCAGAGTGAATTAGTTACATACAGTTCCTCGGTCAATGATGCTCGGCCCTATACGTTCTGACAGTGACTGTGGTGGTGGGGTTAGCCAGTATCCATCATGCTGCACCTCTCAGGACCCGAAGTGTATTCTATTGAATTCAGGAGTGCCCTCTGCTTAATAGGTCACACAAATCATGCCTGGAGATTCCTCCCACTGTGGCAGAGAACACTGGGGCTAATTTGAAGTTGTGATCAGTTTCATTTTTGTTCCTCTCTACAGTACCTGCATCTAACTCTCAATGGTGCCAAGGAGCTGATACAGTTGTTCTACTCAGCCTTAGCACATGCATCAGAAAAATGCATGGCGAACTCCCCACACTGGGAGGAAACTGCTATGGAGCTGAGATGGAGGAAAGACTTCAGCATGGCTCAGGGCTCAGAGAAAATGTTCACCCCAGGGCCAAACATCCTCTTGGTCCAGAACTTACATGGCTGGATGTGAGGTTCCATCTCTCACACCACTCCACGGTTCAGGGGCTTCAGGGGGTGCAAAACGCAGTGGTCCTACAGGTGGCTTGGCAAAGGGGATTCCCAGGAAGCTGTGGACACCAACTTTGGTATCACTCACTCGGATGAGGCTGCCTCGGACCTGGCCCGTGTGTGTGCTTCTGATGGGGCTGGTCTCTGAGGAGTCCTGACCTGGGTGGAGAGATGACATCAGGGTTAGTTTCATGCAATCAGCTGCCAGCAGATTGTGGAAGTTCCCATCTCACTGTTACCAGGGCACAAAAGAAGAGAACCCCAGACCTCCCAGTTCAGCTGTGGGATGTGAGTGTGGGAACTTCCCTATCCCTCAGGGTCAGGAACCTTTCCTATTGCCCTTTGCAGGGCGTCAGAGCATTTCTCTGGCCAAAGAGTTCACACACTCTGAGCTTTTGGCCACATGAAATTATGATTATTGTCATTCTTATATGAAGTTCAGCAGTGGCTACAGTAAAAGCCATACTTTGAGGAGGGAAAATTTTCTTCATCTTGCTCTTCCTTGAATTATCTAGATCTTTCCAGAGCTCCTTACACTGAACTGTCTCCTTATTATGGAGTTATCTTAAACACCTCTGACCCTCTGTGTGCTAAGCGCCCACAAAATCTGTGTGCTTTGGCCAGAGAATTCTGAGACACGTGTTTTCCATACTTTAGTCTATTCTTTTCATCACCCCACCCACACCCTCATTCCCTGGCTTTCCCTCCCACGAGCTCAGCCTCTGATTCTGCAGAATTCAGCAGCTCTAATTCTAGTCATTTCCCATTGGCAGCTCTTGAGCCTCACCCTGCACATGGAGGAGGAGAAGCAGGAGCCCAAAGACCACAGCATTCAGCCAGCTATGAAGTTGGTTCAGTGGCATGATCAACTCTCAGGCCTGAGTCGCTGCTGCTACGTAGGACGACCACGTTTCACAAACAGGAAGCAGAATCTGTTGGTCTTCCCTAGCTATGAATTAAATCAAAAGGATGTGGGCGGGAACCTTGGTGTGGTGGGGCAAAGTTCTCATTGTTGGAGAACTGATTAGTCAGAGTGACAGGAGCCAATGTCTAGGAGGCAGGGCAAAGTCACCTCTGCTGTTTCCATTTTCTCTCTGATCTCCTAGAAAGGCACAGCGTAGATTCTGAAGCTATTCTGGGACACCAGGAGCTCTGTCCTCACACATTAACAGAAAGCTGTAACAGGAGAAGCCATGTAGAAATAGGAGCGGCGGGCGTTCCCCCCCCCCCCCCCGGCTAGCTTTACCCTAAATAATTACATGGAAACTGTATTCTTTTAAACACTGCATGGCCCATTAGTTCCAGCCTCTTACTGGCTAACTCTCACATCTTGATTAACCCATTTATATTAATGTGTGTAGCACCACAAAGTGGTGGCTTACCAGGAAGGATCTTAACCTACATCTATCTCGGAGAGGAGAGCTATGGCGACTGACCTCACTGTCTTCTTCCTCCCAGCATTCTGTTCTGTTTACTCCACCTACCTAATTTTCTGTCCTATCAAAGGGCCAAAGCAGTTTTCTTTATTAACCAATGAAAGTAACACATAGACAGATGACCCTCCTCCATCAAAGCCAGAGAGCTTCTGTGAGTAGGTACACACTCAAGATGCTGCAGGAGAGACAGAGGGCTTCTGTGAGTAGGTACACACACAAGGTCTTTATTTCAAGAAACTGAAAACACCAATCACAAAAGCTCATACTTCCAAAGTTCACAAGAGCTTGTTTAAAAGTAGTCAAAATCAGGTTACTCAGGTGTTGATCAATAGGGATTAGGTAAAATGAGATGTTTGCACATGTGGAGAGACACGGTTACCTAAATGCAGCACACTTGAATCTGTTTTTCCCTTTTCAATTCCCTTCTTTCTCTTTTTATATTTTATTTTATTTAAATAATTTTTTCCATTTATTTTACATACTGACTGCAGTTTCCCCTCCCTCTGCTCCTTCTGCCCCACCCCCACCCACTTCGCATCTATCCCCTTACCTATCCACTCCTCCTCCATCTCTGCTCAGAAAGGGTCAGGCCTCCTGTGGACTTACACAAAGCATGGCACTTCAAGTTAAGGCAGGACTGAGCTCCTCCCCTTGTGTCAAGGCTGGGCAAGGTAATCCAGCACGAGGAGCAGGTTCCCAAAAGCCAGTTAAGTGCCAGGGATGGATCCTGATCTCACTGCTAGAAACTTTACACAACTGTCACACACATGCAGAGGGCCTATCTCAGTCTCCTGGAGGTTCCCTAACTGTTGGTCCAGAGTCCTTGAGCTCCTATGAGTTCGGCTCTGCTGTCTCTGTGTCCCATCCCTGTCAGGATCCCCTGGGTACTATAACTCCTTCCTCTCTTTCTTCGGCAAAACTCCCTGAGCTCAGCCCTGTACTTGGTAGTAGCACACTTGAATCCTAACAGCATTTAGGACCAGTCACCTAGGAATCCTTTTCGGAGACGGGATAACAAAGATTCTGATGTTTCTAAATCATTTGCAGTTTCCAAACTGTAGCATTAGAAAGTGTTTGCCCTGGAGCAGAGACTAGGCAGTGATTGGCTGAGAGGAGCTCAGGGGGGACTTCTTCCAATGAAAGAAGGAGACTCATTTCCCTGAAAGTAATTGCATAGCTCATACTTTTCTGCAAAATTTACCCATCTATGCTGGTAAGTGGACAATTGTGGTTGCATAGAGACCATTTGATGTCAGATGTTTTCAAAAATGACACAGCTACTGAAAGTCTAAAGACCATTTGGTGAGGTGTCCTGTGTACGTCAGCAGAAATGGAGACTCCACAGATGCACATGTGCAGCAGGAGCTCACAAACGCCTCCAGTCCCCAGTGAGAGCACCAGGCAGCAAGCAGTCTTCTTGCGCTCAAAGCAGCCAAGGCTGAGACAATCTTGTCTCTCTTCTGCCCCCTGGTGTTTGCAATTTGGAACATAAAAATCATTCCATTCACAAATGCTATAGATTTAGTGTTTCCCTCCACACTCTGTGCTTTCAGACCCTGTCTAGGCAGATATTCTCTCTCTCTCTCTCTCTCTCTCTCTCTCTCTCTCTCTCTCTCTCTCTCTCTCTCTCTCTCTCTCTCTCTCTGGAGAACATCTGGGCTATGGGAGCCAAAGAGTCCACCCACCCTCCTCCATTTCTTTCAAGCTCAAAGACATGGAAGTAACCTGGTGGTCCTCTACCTGAACTGCTCTTATTCCTGGGCTGCTTTGTAGCATGGCTTGGGGGAAGGTTCCCATGTGCTCTGTCACCCAGTACATCATCATTAGGGCCCTTCATGGATGATGGTGAAGACCATAGTAAGCATGTAGAATGAGGAAGACTCTCAAATTCTGTGTGTGTGCTGGAAGGGGTGGATCTGGAACCTTTCATTTACAGACAGGAAGGGGAAGAGGGACTAAAGTCTACAGAATCCTCTTCATGGAGAAACTACTGCATATGAACATACATACCAGTGTTGGAAAATCATGGCACCACTGACATGGTCAGACATGCATGACTGGAGGAGATGCAAAGTGGTGTAGTCATATTGAAAGACAGGTTGACCTTTTCTGCAAAAGTTTAAAACACCTGTGCTGTGACTCAGCAAATCTACTACTGTTGGTAGAGCCTGCTTGAATTACCAGGTGTGCCTTCAAGCCTTTTCCTGTCTCTATCTGACCTTGTTCTTTGATGCTGTGATATCTATTATCAGGTCAACTCAAACCTGTACTCTACAGTGAGGAGACTGAGAGTTGGGCCACTAGGCGCTCAGGTCATGGGCATCATTATTAATCCCATCAGCCCAGTGTAACCAAAAAGAACAATCTTTGGTGAGAAAGCTAATCCCCAATATATAGCACACCTGATGGTACCTTAACTTTGGAATTCATGGTCTCCAAACTTGGGAGCAAATTCCTATTGGTAATAAGCCATATAGGTTACGATATATACAAATTCATGTATGCATGTCACATGTATCAGTCTATGCATATATGCAATTGAGTTGAAGTGTGTGTATATGTTACCAGCTCATAAAATCTACCTGCCTTGATCTTCCAAGTACCCAGATCACTTGTGTGTCTGTCATAGACCTGAGCTTGCTGCTTCTGGTGGGATTTTTGTTATGAACACATAAACTTTCTGATACACCAGGGCTCTGTCAAGCCACACGTTTTATAAGTTACTTGTATAGATGAGAATACTTAGAGCTTGTTAACAGATGGACGTGAGATTTTGACATCCCATCACCTCTGGTAAGTCAGTTTCCCCAAATATCTGAAGTGTATCCAGAATGCTTATATATTTTAATCTTTAATAATTTCAAACACAGATACAATGTATTCAAATCATGTCTACTCCTTTACCTAGACCAACTCCTTCCAAATCACCACCCAATTGATATATATCTAAACTGACTTCATCCAATTAGGTGTTAAGAAAAATTTCATATCCCACCTCCACTAGCAGCCCAGAGATCAGAGTCCTATGAGTGTTAACAATCTTGCTTCTCACAAAAATAGATCAAGTTGAGCTCAAAGGCCAAGTGGGTAGGTTTCTGTATCTCTTTATTTTTACACAACGTCTCAAAATATAGTCACACTTGCCTAAGACTCTAACATTCCTGAATCGGCCCTGGTTGCTGGAATGAAAGGTGTGCACACTGAAATTTGAAATGAAACTCTTATGGCTAACTTCAAGCCTAGCTTTGTGTGTCCCCAGGCTTCTGCTTCCTCTGAATGAAATTATAAACCTGGAACTGTGGAGTCTGTGACAAACCTGTGATTGTTTAACTGAGGAAGACTAAGTCAATCTGTCTTCCAAAATGACCGCGTCATTTCTCACCCCTGTAACCTTGTCTGCAGCGACAGCTGCTTCACATCCTCACCTGCACTGGGACTCACAGATTTGTAGTCTGGTTGCATTGGGTCGTCCTCTGCTTATGTAGGAAGATGGTAAGGATGACTGCAGCCTGGGCTATGTAGTGAGTCAAGAAGCAAGACCTCTCCCCACCAAAGAAGAGTCTGAACATGGAAGTGACGCAGGCTGCCTCTGCTGGGAGCATAAATTGGGCTGAGACTCTGCAATGACAGGAGGGGATCACAAGAACGTTATCCCAAATGGCAGCTGGTCTCCAGTGGTTCCTCTTACAGGACATGGCAGGAAGAGGTACAGTACAGGCCAAAGAAAGAAGTGGATGAGGGCGTGGAGGGGTTCTTGAGAGGGGGGTGGTATCCATGAGCTCAGCAATGGAGCCACTCCCTAGCACTCCCCTAGTCTGTGTCCTGGTGCCCAGGACAGACAACACAGGAGTCTTGACTTTCACACAAAGTCATGGTGCTTTATGGCTGGTTCTCAGTACAGTGAATGACACAAGGAGTCTTTGCCCTGGGAAAGGTGGTGAACAAAGACGACCAGCTGGTCCGAGGGAGAGGGTTGTGCAAGTCCCAGGGTCTAAAGAACACAGGACGCACCTCCTGAAATAACAGAGAAAATGCTTTGGAGGAACAAAAGGCACATTGAGAACAATTTGGCATCCCTGCAAATGACAAAATAAAGACACTTTGAATGGGTGGGCGTGAGAAGTTTAAGTACAACACTAACAAAGAGAGATCTAAGAATTGAAACTAAATGAAAACCAGTCGCGTGGAACATGGAGAAAAGACACGACTGTTCAGCAGGGTTTGTGGAAAACAGGAAGATGATTGCATACATTGAGAAACCATCAGTCATGGTGCCAGGGTCAAGGATGTCTTCTGCTTAGACAAGCCTGTGCGTTCCTACCTCTCCCACCCCGTGGTGACACGTACCACAACAAAAGATTTTTAGACTCCCTGCAGGCACTGACCTCTGACCCAGGAGACTGGCGAAGTTGTTCTCTTAGAAACCTTATGTATGCATGTATCTGAAAATGCATGGCAGACTACACGTCACAGATGGAAAACTTTTGTTTGGATGGGATGAAGGAAGCCCCCCCCCCCATTCTGGTCCAGAGCTCAGAGCACATTCTCACCTCAGGACCTGAAGTCCTCTGGGCCCCAGAACTTACATGGTCAGTAAGATGGTTTGAAAGAAAATGGGCTCCACAGGGAGTGGCACTAATGGAAGGTGTAACCTTGTTGGAGTAGGCGTGGTCTTGTTTGAGGAAGTGCTTCACCCTCGTACGACAGTCAAACTATGCACAGTGAGACAGTTCCTTCCTGTTGCACTTGGATCAAGACATAGAGTTCTTCAGTACCACGTCTGCCTGCATGCTGCCCTACTCCCAGCTAACATGTTCACCTCCATGATGATAATAGACTAAAACCTCTGGATGGTAATCAAGCCACCACAATTAAATGTTTGTCTTTATAATGGTTGCCTTTGTCATGGTGTCTCTTCACAGCAATAGAAACCCTTAACAAGACAGCAAGATAGGAAGTCCCATGTATGACACCATGGCACAGTTCAGGGGACTCAGGGGAGCAAAACACAGTGTACCTACAGGTGGCTGGGCAAAGGGAATTCCCAGGAAGTGTGGACACCAACCTTGGTGCCCTTCTCATGGAGGAGGCTTCCTCCATCTGCCCTGTGTGAGTGCTCACGATGGGGCTCACTTAGTCCAGGCCTGCAGGTAGAGAGACACCGTCTAGGTTACATCTATCACACTGTTTCCACTCATTTCACTAGGGTGCATGGGGCAGGGAATCTGAGGTGTCTGGGTTCAGCTGGAGGGTGTGGGGGTAGGAATTCCATCCTTCCTTCCTTCCTTCCTTCCTTCCTTCCTTCCTTCTTCCTTCTGCCCATTCTTCCTTCCTTCCTTTGTTCTGATTTTCTAGGCAGAGTTTCTCTGCATAGCCTTGGCTGTCTTGGAACTTGCTCTGTAAACCAGGTTGACCTCAACTCAGGGAGGTTTCCCCACCTTTGCCTCTATGGACCCTGGCTTAGCACTGCAAAACTTCCTCTTGTTGCTAGCATGGCACAGCCTCCTGCAATAATCAAAATTCCCTGTTGTTGTGCTGTAGTGGCTCTAGCGAATTGCTGTCCAGTCTATGGTCCCAGCTGTTACTGTCAGTTACTCTCCCTACCCTCAACTCCTTGACCAAAGGAACTAATGTGTCATTGGATTGAGAAGTTCTTCCTGTTTCTTGATATTCATGGTGCTTCTCCTTGTTACAGACTTTTCTCAGCTAAGTTCTGTGCTGGTTAGAATGTAAATGGCCCCTATAGACTCATGCATTTGAATGTTTGCTTCTCAACTGATGGACTGTTTAAGAAGTGTGACCTTGTTGGAGAAGGTGTGTTCCTGGAGATGGGCCCCTCCAATCTGTGGCACCAGGCCTTGCTAAACAGATAGTTGAGGAATGGATACATGAAAGATACAGTTGGCCTTGTGTCTTCAAAGCATGGGCAAATCAGGCTGAACCCATTTATACTCACGATACTGGAAAACCCTCCCTAGCCTGCCATTGACCCATTTGTTTCTCCTCTCTTCTGTCCAGCTCATATCTATTCTGGGGCCACCTTTACAAATAACATCTTCCAACCTTCAGTACATTGCCCCGGGTAAGCTGGATGTGGGCCTGGCCTTTCTTGGAATTCCTTTGCGTGAAATTACCCAAAACCTTGTACACATCCCCATGATGGAGGTCACTCTGCAGACTGCTGTGTCCAGGACCCTGTTATGATTTTTCTTTGTGCCAACAGCTCCCAAATGACGGCACAGAGTAATCTCTGTTCTTCCACATGACTTTTAACTCTCGTTCATTCTGAGTATCCGACCCGTTCTGCTGCTCCATGTCATGCCCTGTGTGCCTCGATTATCTCTTCCTCTCTCTGCCCAGAATTCCCGCCTATTTCTCCTGCCTAGCTACTGACCATTCAGCTCTTTATTACACCAGTCACAGAAATACCTCTTCACTGTGTACAAGTAACGTACAGCACTGGCCAGTTCCCTGCCTTAGGACACTATAATTGGTGAAGAAGCCCAAGGAGTTGGAGACAAGTAGGGCTGTGTAGGAAGATGAGGCATACAAGGCCAGAGCTGAGCCAACCTGGAGTCTGCCTGAGACTCTAGCAACAGGCACTGTCAGAGGTCCTGATCATGCCTAACCAATGAGGGACCTGAATCCAGTGTCTATGCCGCTGATGTTGCACCTTTTCACCTCTTCCCCGGAGGAAACTACTAGAAGCCAGTAACAGGGCTGGTATTCCAATCTGTGCGAGGGGCAGGACCAGCTGTACTGCTTTTTGTCCTCTCAGTGTCAGCCTCGCACACACAAAACCAGTGTGGGTGTTTGCACTTTGGGAATCCCACCCATCAACACTGGAAAATGCCTAGTGATTGACAGCCCAAAATAACCACTGTGCGAATGTGATCTGGCCTTGGGGAATATGTTTTCGTGTGACTATAGAGATGTGGGGAGGGGTGTATGTGGGGGGGTGTGCATATGAGGCTAACACAGACCAGGGAAGCCATGGGGAAGTTAAGGGAATCATGTCTGTAATCCCATGACATGCGTAGCTGACCCAGTGTGTAATCACCTTCCTGCTCAGAACTTCCTTTTGCTCAGGGAGAGCAACAATAATCAGAAATAGAAGAGGGTCTATGTCCAAGTCACTCTGTTTATTCCCCTCTCATGCTCTACACGCACCATCCCAAAGCTGTAATCTGAATCTGGGGACAGTTCTGATTCCAACTAAGCCATCTTCCAGGCTCTAGGCTCTCCTCTTGCCCATTCTGCCTTTATCCATTCCAACCTGTAACTGATTCTTCCCCCAGGCTTGGTCATTACCTGGAGGAACATTCTTCATTCCATCTGACAGCGAAGTTGCTTAGGAAAATATAATGCCTACAAACCAACACTCTGATCTGAAGCCTTATAGCACTGCCATGGTGGAGACAGGAAAAAGGAAACCACTGTGGACTATATTTGGGGGGGGCTTCTAGGACCTCTATGGTCTGTTTCTGGGGAGGAATCTCATACTTGGGGCTAGGAAGTATGTGCTGTAATTCACTGTTTCTAGGAGTCACCCTCTAGACACAAAGGGCAGCACCCTTCAGGCCCTCTTTCCTGTTTTTATTTAAATTACAGGACCCATACTGTTTCTTTATTTTCCCTTATCCCAGCTAACCCCCTCCCTTCCCAAACTCTTATCTCCCCAATCCTCCCTCCACCCTCCCTGCTTTAACCTTACCACCCACAGTATCCCCTTCTTTACTTTTATTTTACCTCTGTTGCTCTATCACCCCTCCCTTAAGACACTCCCCCATGCCCCCTCCTGCTTTTCTGACTTCCACTTGCATTCCATGATAACAATAGAACTAAGGAGTCAAAGATAGAGTTAACCTAACAGATAGTAATATGGTATTTGTCTTTCTGAGCCTAGGTTACCTCATTCAGTATAATTCAATTCATCTCCCTGAAACTTTCATAATTGCAGCCATCTTTACAGCTGAATAAAATTCCACAATGAAGGTCAGGTGGTGATGGTGCATGCTTTTAACCCCAGCACTTGAGAGGCAGAGGAAGGTGGATCTCTGAGTTTCAGGCCAGCCTGGTCTACACAGTGTGATCTAAGACAGCCAGGGCTACAGAGAGAAACTCTGTGTCAGGAGGAAAAGAAACACAGTATACAGGCGTCATTTTCATTATCCATTCATCAGTTGATGGACATCTGAGCTGCTTCAATCCCTTAGCTTTTTTGGACATGAATACACAGGAATCTTTATAAAGGATATAGAGCCCAGTCGCTTATATTTTAGTCCTTTAAAGAGCATACAATCTGAGCTCCAGAATTGCTGTACCAGTTTGAAATCCTAATGATACTGAGTAGGGAATTCCTCTTCCCCCACACCTGCATCTCTATTTGTTGCTAATTGTATTCTTGATGATAGCCATCCTGACTAGGGTGGGATGGCATCTTAGTTATGGTTTCTATTGCTGTGAAGAGACGCCATGACCAAGGCAACTCTAACAGAGAAAACATTGAATTCAGTGGCTTGTTTACAGTTCAGAGGTTCGGTCCATTGTCATCATGGTGGGGAGCATGATGGTGTGGAGACAGTCAGGTTGCTGGATACATCTTCATTAAAGATAACAAGAAATGGATTGACCTACTAGGTGTAGGTTGGCACATGCGACCTCAAAGT